GTGCGGTTTTGTATATGGCGTATATAATAATAAAATAAATGAGTTAAATGAGTTAGCGCCTGCGAATGGACTTCATGTTCCACGCGCTGTTGGCTTTAACCAAACACTTATTTTATGGCTCGGGCTTTCATTAAGATTAATTCATAATTACCAATTTAGCATATATAAATATGTATATATCAAGATATAGGAAACAACATTTCGTAGCCGCCCTAATAATTCGACCTTTTTCTTCGAAAACCCAGGCACCATTGGCCAAAAATAGACCTTCGAAATTGTTAAAGGCTTCTGAGACGTTGGCTGCCATCTCTGGCGGAGGATGAGCAAAACGGGGCGGGATGGGATGCATGTAGATGGCTGCAGGGCCAAGTTATAAATTGGCCAGCGTTCAAGGTCGCTTGGCAGGGAACCGGAATATAGAAAATAAATACACTTACCAAAACTGTTGCTAGCAGTTTGAAATCACTAACCAACCGAACCTAGCTAGGATGGAGAGTCCTTAAATATATATATATGTATATTGCTATCCTTGTCGCTATTGCAGGCCTACGAGCGGCGGTTTCCCACATGCCCGCAGATGCCCATCGTCCTGGACTGTGAGGTCATTAAGGACGAGTCCCTGGAGAACGGGGCCAAGCGGAACACGAGCCGGCGCTGCAAGTTGGCGGTGGACGCGCCGTACATCTTCAAGAAGCTGATTGGCGTGGACCATGTGTACTTCCTGCAGCACAACTTCCTGGACATGGCCAACCGCACGCTGAGCATCGAGGCGGTCAACGAGAGCTTCTCGTCCCGCATCGAGATCTTCGAGCGGTGTCGCTACTACGCCCACCCAGACAACTCCGAGTGGACGTGCTTTGACCAGTCGGCCACGCTGGACATTAAGAACTTCTTCGGATTTGAGCACTCCATGGAAAAGATGGGCATGAAGCAGTACACCCAGACGACGCTGAAGGGCAAGGAAATCATTGAGTTCTTTATCGGGCAGCTGCGCGAGGAAGGCGTCACGCACGTGGAGCGTTGGACATCACCCAGTGACGCACCCAAATCGCCTACCCTGGACCAGGCTCCGGATCAGCAGCACAGCATCTTGCTGGACGGCGACTTTATCGCCCGCAGCCTGGGCCAGCTGTCCCCCATGCAGGAGTCCAAGCTGCTGGAGCTGCGAAAAATGCTGGATGGTGTCGATGACTTGGAGCGTGTGCCCAGTTATCAGACCATCCTGCGTTTCTTGGCAGCCAGGGACTGGCATGTGAGCCAGGCCTACGCCATGCTGTGCGACTCGCTTCGCTGGCGTCGGGAACACCGCATAGATGCACTGTTGGAGGAGTACTCCAAGCCGGCCGTGGTGGTGGAACACTTTCCGGGCGGCTGGCACCACCTCGACAAGGACGGTCGACCCGTCTATATTCTGCGCCTGGGACACATGGACGTCAAGGGTCTGCTGAAGTCGCTGGGAATGGACGGCCTACTGCGATTGGTAAGCAAGCCTGCGTATCTTTTCGCCAAGATTACCTTTTAAACGATATGTTAATTGGCTATAGGCTTTGCACATCTGTGAGGAAGGCATTCAGAAGATCAATGAATCTGCCGAACGCCTGGAGAAGCCTGTCCTTAACTGGTCGCTGCTTGTAGATCTGGAGGGTCTTTCCATGCGGCACCTCTGGCGTCCCGGCATCAAAGCCCTGCTCAACATCATCGAGACTGTGGAGCGCAATTACCCAGAGACCATGGGCCGTGTCCTAGTGGTGCGAGCGCCCAGAGTGTTTCCCATTGCATGGACAATCGTTAGCGCTTTTATCGGTGAGTCCGAACTTGGCTCCATAAAAAATGCTTTAAATAACCTTTACAAACGCTTTGAAATCCTACAGATGAGCACACCCGATCCAAGTTCCTATTTTACGGCCCCGACTGCGCACACATGAAGGATGGCCTGGCCCAGTACCTCGACGAGGAGATAGTGCCGGACTTCCTAGGGGGACCCTGCAAGGTAAGCAAGCTGGCGGCAGCCACGACTTCCGGTAGCGCGTCTTCGGTTGGGAGCCCATTACTGCTGCATCTGTAGCTACGTACTGACTATATTCTGTTATTATTGTATCTGTGCGTAACCTCTCTTTCCCTCTGGTTCCGGCCTTGATTCCGGCTTGCTGGGGCTGCTCAGACAGAGAACCAGCTAGTCTCGCATGTGGAGCAAGTCAGTCAGAAATACTTTAGCCATTGTTATTTAACCAAATGCGATTGTGTAAGCATCCTACTCTCTTGTTCTTTTGCTCCTGCCTCTCGATTTCGTTTGTCACCATCCACAACGACAAATTGTACTGTATTCGTCCGCCTTTGTCTTACTTCCTCGTTTTTGTTTCTCACACTTTGTTCGTTGTGCGGTTCTGTTGCAAACTGTGTCAAGCCCATGTGCGCAGCTTAGCCATGACATTCCTGCTGTAATATTTCCTCCATTGTGCCCCAGCGTCCATGTCCACGTCACTTAATCTCTGTTCACCCGGCGGCTGTCATACATGTGCCCAGTCCAAGCCAACAGCCACGGACCCTTGCCTCCGGAAAATGCTCTAACGTATTGTCCTTTTCCCAAAAGACCATGATTCACGAGGGCGGACTTGTGCCCAAGACGCTTTACAAGATGAACTCCCTGGAGGATCACGACGACGAAGTGGCCGCCGAGCTGCCCACCACTGCCGCTGCACAGGCTCTGGTTCCAGCCAAGCGCCTTTCCGCCAACCACCAGCACGACCATCGCAACCTGTACAAGAGTGTGGATCTCAAGGCTGGATTCACGCACGAGCTGCTCATCCGGAACGAGGATCCCAAAAGTGTGCTCACCTGGGACTTTGATGTAATGCGCAGCGATCTGCACTTCACGCTCTACCGGGTCACCCAGGAGCTTCCGGAGAAGAATGGTGAGTTTATAATCCACGAACGAAAGGTTTTCATACTTGTTTTGTCAACTTTTGTTCTGAGAACTGGTTTTTGTTGCTATATAAGTGTTGTTGCTTGGTAAAGGTGCGAATATCACGAGGTTCGTGCCTCATTAGAAGGCTTATTTTTACTTAACACTTCTATAAAAACACAATGAACAATAAAGAGCCAAGAATTCGGAAAATTGAAACCTATGTATATACCCTTCGAATAAGAAAAACTAAATTAAAAATTTAGCTGGAATCGAATAGTTAACTATTACAATTTAGTACATATTCATACATACACATATATTTAGTCATACGTAAGCAAATTTTTGTATAATTTCAAAGGTATCTGTTGCTAGGGTTCAATTATACTGATAACGAAGAAGCGCACCAATTCTCGTTCCGGTTTAATGATAGGGAATGCTTTTTATATGTGGAGCGATAATGTAGTAAAATTCAAAAGAGTCCAACCCTAAGTTATAAAGATCTTTGTACTTTGAACTATATAAACAATGTACAGCCTGCGTGACAGTTTTACTTCTGATTAACTAACATATCATTAAATGCCTTCCTCCAACAGACTCCGCCGTCTCGTACTTTGATCTGCAGGACTTCGTCGAGGGCGTCAATTACTTCCGGGAGGAGCCCACACTGATTTGCCGGCACAAGGAGAGCGTCCAGGGCTCGCACGTGATGCATCACAACGACAGCTATCTTATGCACTGGTTTAGTCCCTCAGGTGCCCAGTTAAATGTCTTCTACGAGGTGCTCAGCTCGGCCAACTACAAGGGCTCCATGACCAGCCTTCAGTCGGCCTTCTCATCGAACTCGTCGGCGGCCAGCTCGGTGCAGAGTCGATGATATGAAAAAGCCGGGGAGGGCGGTACGAATGGCGCCGAATGGAGATCCCCGGCTTTGGAGGAGCCCATAGCGGCGATGGGGGAGGACATTCTCACAGGCACCCTGATGGAGAAGAGCCTGAATCTTTTCGAAACGCCGGACGTATTCTTTTAAGACCAAAAGTGGTAATATCTTGTGGGTTAGTTTTCTTTAGTTTTTTAGCAAAATGTTAGTTTGATCTTAACGTGTATTTAGCTCAAATAGGCCATTTATTTTCTATAAATTTATTATATTCATTCAATATATACAATCATTCATATGATAATCTTAAGAAAACTAGAAATATCAGCGGCTTAGATGAGCAACACCAAAATATCACGCAACGTTTTATTTCGAATCGTCAATTTTACTTTTTTAAAGGTCTATAAGTGAAGTTTTAATGCATATATGTAAAAGCGATGTAATTTTGATAGCTTTTTCTAATGGAACATTTTTAGCAATAATTAAGGAACTTTTCGCGATTGCAGCCACTGAAACGAAAATAGGAAAATTGAAATTTGTAATCAATAACTACGTGTTACCTAATTAGAATAATTGAAAAATTGCCGAATAGGCTTATTGCAAGGATTTTAGCCAGAACTTATACAATAGAGTGAAATGTAGGGTTTGAACTCGAAATTAGCAGAGAAAAAATGAGAGCTACACATGTTAGTTATAGTTAGACGTCAGATTATAATAATATATGTGAAATTGTATTCTGAACATTTGATTTCAAACCGTTTTTGATTGCACACTAATTGTCCCCCAATTTGTATATTTTTAATGCTAATATCAATCAATCTGCAACGGGTTTTTAATCAAAAAAGCAACTTAAATTTATCTTTTTGGCTTTTATTTACTCCATTAAATAGTTCATACTATGCGAATGTCTACAATTTAGTTTTATCAATAGTCTGACGTGTATTGTAAGAATAAACTGACAAGCCAATAACGAAGGAAAAAAGAGTGCATGTTAACTAAGTGTGTAAGTTGTATTAAGAACGTAATCAAATAAACGCTATTAGATCAATTACATGTACATGTCATTTTCATTTTATTGGATGTTTCGAAGCTGTAAGGGAAATTTCACGTTTAACATATTTTCTAAATATATATAAAATCCATTAGGCTTCCCGCCTTTTGAAAGACTATTCAAATTTTGCGCCTTCGCTCATAACTAGCTTGCCAGCCCTGGATACATCAAACAAGTCTGGCAACGCCGCATGATAACATATTGTCGAAAACGTAGAATTTTATTGTAAACTTGAACAAAAGACAAGCTAAATCGAACAATATTCATTTTTGTATTTATATAACATGATTCTCCCTCACGGCATAAGTCACGTCAATCAAAGTTATCTCCCGCGGCGAAGAACTGGCTTAAAATTGTTTATGTTTATCGCGCTTGTTGTTGGCTGATAGGAAATTAAGGTAATGTTTTCGGCAACAAAATTCCGAAATCCGCACAGCCCGCCCTAATCCCCCGTTCCCTTAGGGCCCGTATCTTATCCGTGGCGGATGCAAACCACTAAAAGGCGACTTGGCCATGAAGTGCGGATAAGCGGATTCCTTCTTATCGCTGGCCATTGGACATTGGCTATTTTACCAATAATAGTTACGAGTGGCTGGACTTTCAAGCATTTCGCGCCTAGCACTCGCAGCAGGCAGACCAGTCGCTAGAAACGAACTCCAACATGGTTGCATTGAGCACACAGTAAGTACCCCGGCCCCACCGCCCACCGCCCCTACTCACGACCACAACGTCCACAATCCCATCATTCCAACCACCAATCCACCAAGAGCCAGTTCGCTGGACAATGGCGAGCGGAGATGGCGGCGAAGGTGACCACAACGGTCTGAACTCACTACTAACTGCACTGGGCGACTATTACAGCGGCCGCCGGGAGGAGAAGGCTGTAGCCAACATCTACGATGACAAACGGATCTTTCCGGACTTCCGTGGAGGACCTTTGGACGAGTACCGCCAGCGGGCTAGTTTCTGCTACAAGCGCATGAACGTGGTGCTCGAGGGTGAGGATCACATTCGGCTGAAGGTTCGTTGCCATTTCCAGTTTGTAACACGGTCAGCGGGGTCGAAGTGCAGACTGCTTCGATAGCTTCTATCGGAACTGCAGGCCGCCAGCTGTCTAATCGTCGAGCGCCCTTATCTGCAAAATTGAGTAATTCGTTTACATGTCGATCGTCTTTAGCACAAGGTGTGGCAATGGATGGAGCAGCACCCCGACTACCAGCGGGAGTCAGGAACCGACCTGGAACGCACACGTGAAATGGCCAACAAGCGGCAGCATCTTCTGTGGGAGCAACAGTTCTACGGTGTCAACGAGGTGGGATGCGTCACGTACTTTTGAAAAAGCGGCTGCTTAAATGTCTGTCTTTCTTTCAGTATTTGGGAACCCCGCATCTCCTGCTTGCCTTCGGGCAGGCCATCTTCAGCTACGACTTTAGCACTTCGGTCAAGTTCGGTTTGTCAACTGGCATGTTCCCCAGCACCCTGGTCTCCAACGGATCTGGTCGCCTGGGCAAGTATGTGGCCAAGATCGCGGACAACCGTATTCTGGGAGCCTACGCTCTCACGGAGATTTCTCACGGCACCAACGCGCTCGGCATGCGCACCCGAGCCACTTACGATGTAAAAAGGCAGGAGTTTATCATCCACACGCCAGACTTTGAGGCGGCCAAGTGTTGGGTCGGCAATCTCGGCAAGACCTGCACCCACGCAATCGTCTACGCCCAGCTGTACGTGCCCGATGAGAAGCACCAGGGCCTACAGGCCTTCCTTGTTCCCATTCGGGACGAGCGTACCTTGCTGCCCTTCCCCGGCGTAACCGTTGGCGATATGGGCGAGAAGATCGGTCTCAATGGCATTGATAACGGGCAAGTACTTTCTTCTATCAGTTGATAAAACTTATCAACGACGACAGCAATTATTTCGATTTGTTTTTGCATTGCAGATTTGTGATGTTCAACCAGTATCGTATCCCTAAGGCGAATCTGCTGTCCAAGACCGGTGACATCGATGCGCAGGGCAACTACACCAGTCAAATTAAGGACGAGCGAAAGCGCCTTGGCGCCTCCTTGGGCGCTCTCTCTGTGGGCCGCGTCAATATCACTGCTATCACCTACGTGGCTCTGAGCAAGGCTGTGACAATTGCCACTCGCTATGCGGCCAGCAGACGCCAGTTCGGCCCTACGAATAGCCCGGCGGAGTGGCCTGTGATCGAGTATCAGTCGCAGCAATACCGACTTATCCCTCATTTGGCCACCACAATCGCCTTGCGGGTTGCTACACTCTGGATAGGCAAAGAGAACATGGATTTGACCATGAAGGGCTTTACTGGCGAGGACACCTCGCAGGCGGGCATGGAGATCCATGCGATCTCTTCGGCACTCAAGCCAGTGGCCACTTGGGCAGCCAGGGATGGCATTCAGGTAAGAATGTCAAATGCTTTATAAGTTTAAACACTTTAACTTATTGGTTTGTATGTTTTACTCTCAGGAGTGTCGCGAGGCCTGTGGCGGTCATGGCTACCTTAAATCTTCAGGCTTGGGCGAGCTTCGGAACGACAACGATGCTAACTGCACCTATGAGGGCGAGAACAACACGCTCATCCAGCAAGCGTCCAATTGGCTGATCAGTCTGCGACGCAACAATGCCGACTTCGTGGCAGTGTCCCCATTGGAGACAGTCTCCTTCCTGAAGGATATGGACGCAATTCTTCAAACCAAGGGCCAGGAGCGAACTCCTGCCGAAGTTTTAGATCCGCACAGTGAGTATTTCTTATTTATCACAATTAAACAAAGGGATAACATGTTTTTTTTGCGCTTTTTCAGATCTACTTAATGCCCTCAACTGGCTTACCGTCTGGACACTGGATACGACGGTGAAACGAGTTGAGGAGCAGCACCGCGAAGGAAAGGATGCGTTTGAGACGCGAAACAATATTCAGGTCTTTGCCGCCCAGAAGCTCTCTGTTATATACGGCGAGGTGAGATGCCAACCCTCCAAACCCCCAAACTAAACAGTCAATTAATCGAGATTGCCTTTCTTTCAGCGTACCATATACTACGTGTTTTATAAGTTTGTAATTGGACTGCCCGACTCTGCTGAGAAGAAGGTGCTGCAGCAGGTGCTCTCCTTCTATGGCGCCCACTTGGTCACAAAGTACTCCGCTTCTTTCTACCGCGGGGGCTACTTCCGGCAGAACTCAAACCAGCTGGAGCTGTACGAGCAGGGCATCTTGGCTCTGCTTCCCCTGCTGAAGAACGAAGCCATTGCTCTGGTGGATGCCATTGCTCCCACAGACTTTATTCTAAACTCTCCACTGGGCATGAGCGATGGAAACGTAAGTGGTCTCCTATAAGCAGCTGCAACTCTTACTAAGGAACTTATTTCTTCTGCAGGTCTACCAGCATCTGCAGCGCACTATTGTTTCTACTCCAGGTGTCTACGAGCGTCCTCATTGGTGGCGTGACGTTACCTACAAAGATTACCTTAAACGCGCTAAATTGTAGTCACAAAAACATTCACATTCGGAAAGTGCATTATTAATGTTAAGTTTTCAAAGTTATTCTGAGCAATCACAGTATGATATTTGTTACACACAGCTCTGCCTATTACGGTGTTGTCAAGAAATATACTCTTATGTGCTTAAAATGACTTCTGATTACGTTGACTTTTGTTAAAGTATATTTTGGCATGTAATAAGGGATTATCACATTATGTCACCTCGCCAAAGGTGGGAAAAAGTTGATCGCACTTTAAATGCTTAGTTATGTGCCACGACGTGGTCTTAAAAGCGTCGCGTCGATGACGAAAACTATTTAATAATATTAAATTGGCTTATGATAAGCTGATAATATAATTGATTGTCCAATTTCGTACGCCTGCGATACGAATACGTTTTCTAGCAGCGACGTCATGCGTAGGACTTACAATTTGTGGGAGTAGTTAATTTAAATATATACTGTTTGTGATAGCAAACATTTTTTAGAGAAAAAAAGTAGACCCCATTTCGAGTAACCTCTACAATCAAACCTTTAGCCTTCTAGTCTAAAAATTAAAAGGTAGAAATATTCAAGGACGTATTTGCATTATAGGACATGTAATGTATACAAATCGTACTAAATACTAGAACACGTTAGTTAAATTGTGAATATGTACAATTTTTGGTTGTCTTTTAGCTTAAATATGATCACAGTATTACATCGCTATTAAAATAAATCGGCATTTACAGTAATTTACAGAAGAAAGCAAAACAGATAAGTAATAAATTAAATAATTGGCTAGTATCGATGCATCTAGTTGGGTCACGGTAGAGCTCCAGACCCGGATTCGTAGAATTCTAATATTGATGACCTTTGTGCCACGTTGGGAGACTGCATTTGAGCCAGACGCTCTCCCGCCTCGCTTTCTGTCTGGATGAGCATAGGGATCTGCTGTGGCAGATCGCTGGTGGCCCATAGATAAAGGTCTAGCGTCTTCTCCGTGCAGTCAGCAATGAACCGCACAAAGGGGCGAATGTCGCCCTCGTTGGCTAGCTTGAGGAAGTGGTAGTACTTGCTACGCTGCTGCTTTGGAATAATCACCGGTGGGTAACCTGCTCGCATCAACAGGGTGTTCATCAGCAGACGTGAGGTGCGTCCGTTTCCATCGATGAATGGGTGAATGTGAACCAACTTGTAGTGGGCAAGGGCTGCATAGCTGAAAGGAGGCAGAAATCTTTAAGATTTAGAAATTGGGGAGCTGTTTAACACTCACTTGACGGGATGTAAAGTACTAATATGCTCAGAGTTTAGCCATCGTTCAAAACGCTGCATTAACAGCGCGAGATCGCCCGGACCAGGCGGTATGTGACCGCCCACATACACTTGGTTACGCCTAAACTCGCCACCTTCAATTGGGTCCACATGGCCCATAACCCTCCGATGCAGTTCGAGGATGTCCTTAATAGTGATTTCGATTCTGTGCACAATTCATATGGTTATACTAAAAATGCTGCGTAAGTAATCAAATTTTCAACTTACTTTTGCACCAGACTAGCGTTTATGTATTTCATAGCCAGATCCATGCCCAAGATTTCGTTGTGCTCGTCAATGGATTTGCCGTCTACGGCCATGCGAGTCTCTAGGATAGACCGCGTCTGGGCCAGCGTCATGGTGTTGCCCTCAATGCCTACTGAATGGTAGATGTGCTGGAAGTAGGCTTCTTTCTTTGCCCGCCGCAGAGCTGCGTTGGACTCGTGGATGGCGGAGAGGGCGTCTCGTTTGGAGTCTAACGATTCCAGCCGGCGTTGGTCCAGATTCTGTACTACGTCTGCAGTACGCTGTCGGTTGGCAAGTGCCTCGGAGTTGCTCGGGCTGATGGTCAGAGCTTGAAAGTAGTACTGATCCGCCAGGACAATGTTGCGCTGGTTGTGTTCTAGGAACTCGCCATAGCGCAGAAGCACTTCCGGGTGTCGGGGCGCTAGAGCAAGGGCGTGTTCGAATAGTCGCGCCGCCTTGTCATCCTTTCCCGTCAGGTACATGTCCTGGGCCATTCGAAGTGACACCAGCGCCTCATTGATGCTCGTCTGCTCCGCCTCCGTGAAGCTCGCGCCGACACTGTCGCTGACGCTCTTGTCGTAGAACTCCTTGAAGGCATTCAGCTCCTCCACGGAGTACAGTGCGAACTCGTCCCGCGTCTGCAGGTAGTGGGCGGTGGGCAGATGATGGAGCTGCCGCAGTTTCCAGGCCAGATTCGAGGAGCTGAAGGCATGAAACATCCAGGCCGTCAGGCTGCCAGCGATGAAGAACAGTACTAGGCGGTACAGACGTGCTGGTTTCTGATTCTGTGCATTCCAGACTGGCGGATTCGCCTGTTCTTGCTGCTGAGCAGGCGGAGAAGGTGGACTCGGTGGCTCTGCTTCCGTGCCCATGGCCAGTGCTCTATGTTCTTTTGTGTTTCACGCGAATTTTGAATACTTGGCACGCCAGGTACATGTTACGTTAAGTCCAATCGCTGGAAGACGTGGGCCCAAAATTATTTATCTGCAATATTGCAGTTATTGCGGACTGACTTCTAGCACCACGTACTTGCTTCTTCTTCGTTTATAGGTGTGACCGTTTCTGAAAAAATCCGCCTGAAACCCACATGTTCCGCACTGGAACGGTGGATACGAAAACGTAGAGTATATTATTTGGACTTCAATTTGAAAACAAAACGTCTTTTAAGGAAATTCAAAAACCTTACATAGGAATTATTTAAATATCTACTTAGCGAGGTTATAAAAAGTATGTTCTATGCAGTATGTATTAGCAGTACAAATATTAACAGATTTTATAATATAGAAATATAGAATAATCTATTTAGATATTATACGAACATTTTTTACTTCAAAGTGTTCTTAATTTGAACTTGAAATTAAATTGAAAATTTTAGAGTAATTAAAAATTGTATGCGTATAGTTTAAAAGCCCGATTAATAAAAATGTATACCTTACATATATTTAAAGGCAAATTGATTTGTCTATGGAAACGTTTCATACAAATAAGTGCCGTCACCACTTATTTTGTAATAATTAACTATTCGATTAAATAGTGATTTAGGTTTGCTACCTTAAAAACTGTTGCGGCAACTGATGCCACCTATCTATCCCACCAACTAAACCGAAATAAATTTGAACAAAATCGACAGAAGCATATTTGATACATATATTTATTGTTGTTGTGAACACAATGTCATGAAGAGAGCTCATTAAAAAATGCCCTCTTCTTTTTTAGAAACTATGAAGTGCGGGTTCTGTAAAGCATAGTTGTGCTCCTACCTCCCATTCTCTGGAACCACTCTTGTTCTTCGAGTGGGGAGTCCCACCAAATCCGTCAAGTCATTGTGGTCCAATTTCCTAACAGTCCAATAAACAGAATCATTCTAATCAGCAGACAGGATTGATATCTGGCTCCCAATCGCGTTGCCAAATTAGACTGAAATAGAGCCTAAGGTCACCGTATTTGCATATTTCTACCTAACTGCCTTGAATCACTTGGAGTACTCAAATCCGTGTTCTCCCCTCGAGACATGTAAAGAGCACCTCATGAGATCACGCATTTGCTGGCTATTTCGATCTAATGCGATCGGATGGATGCAAGCAAAATAAAAGTGCTCGGAGAGCAGATGACCGGCTTGTGAATCATGTGTATGAGGTCATGGGGGGATTCATTCATTAATTCTTCTCGCCGCGAGCGATGACGTCGTAATCTATTCTTCTGATATTAACTTTGCGCCGGTGGGTCCATACCCATAGATTATGTCGTCCCATTGATAGCCCGACTTAAATGCTCTCTCCTGCTGATAGTGTTGCTCCGCATATCGCAGACTCTCGCGCCAAGCGATCTTTCCATAAAAGCTTCGTGCTGGGAACTCAGCTGTCAGTTGCTGTTCGACAGCGCCACAAGGCGCAGCGGTTTCCCCACGACTCGGAAAGATTTCGGTAGTGCCAGTGATAGATAGGGTGCACCCCATAAAGTGTCCTGAATCCAATCGAAAGATTATTGTGAAAAGTACTCAAAGTGTTGGCCGAGATTGCACCGAAAAGTGATTAGAACTGTAAGTCATTACAGCAGCATAATTTGTCTGATTACCATCCATTCGTTAGATGAAAATAGAAGGAACTTGGGAAAACATTTAAAAATAAATAGCGACAGCCTGCAGGGGCCCAAGAAATGTGTTCCAGAAATAAGCAATACTAAATTGGGAAAATGCATGTGTGACCCATTTGGGGAGACATCTTCTGAGGGGCCCTGAAACCGAAAGTTACACGTCGCCAAGTCCATGGGACTTATCAACCTAAACCGGATGAAAAGGAAATTCGGGGCCACATACAATAGTCTAATTGTTGTCACAAAAATAATAGAAAAATAAGCCCCAAAGTGTTCAGTGAGCTTCAAATAAGAGTGATTTTTTCATGGGCTGATACCGGGCAGTGCGCACATTATCGCCCGATTAACCTTTTCGACCCACAAGTCCGGAGCGATGCGATAATCTTGAGTTACGGTCTGAACTAGATTCGACATCCTCCCCTTATCAACGCCGAAAATACGACTACTTGGGCTTAAAAAGTGACCTGAAATCCCTGAGAAAGCCCTATGTTCTTTCGGAGTATATGGTATTTGTGAATGACATGCTTTTTTTTTCTGCTCGTTTGCAGCGCATCACAGTCTGCAGGATGAGGGCTCTGGGAGGGCTCACGCTGCTTCTGGCGGTGGCCATCTGTCAGGGCTACGAGACCTATCAGCGCTCCAGTTTCAGATCCAGCTCGTCGTCGTCCTATGGAGGCGGGCATACGGTGCCACAACTCAGTTCCTTTGCCTCCGCCCACTTCAATGAGGTGCGGGAGCTGGCCAACCAACTGAAGCAGAAATTCAACGTCCTGTCGCAGGGATCCACCAACTTGGGCTACACAAATCCCTGGAGTGGTAAGTGGCAATGAATTCAAGAGTATAACAGACTTAAAAAAGAGAGAGAGAAACAACGTGTTGTATAAGGTGTAAGGGAAAATCCCTAGAAGCTAATATACAAATCCAAGTATATCTTATTTTTTTTTTGAAAGCTGCAGGGCAAATTTGGCCTTAAAATCACCGCATGACGTCATTTTAAGTAGGAGAATCCTATGTAGAATATGA